GCACCAGACAGTAAGTTTTTTTTGTGTAATGGCCTGTACTCAATTATTTTAGGATTTTCGTAGCCACATAGGCGAAATGCGCCTCGTTGTTCGAAAAATCGCCGTCAACTGCTTGTTCTTCAAGCACCCAATCGACGTCGAGAAATAGGCACATTCGGGTCTTCGGCCACATTTTCACGATGATACACAGGCCTTTCTTTAAAATTGTACGACTTACTGGAGTAATTGGACGATGATGTGCACCGTGATTGCCTCTTAAGCGCGAAACGTAAACACATTTGAATCTCTATTTTTGTTGTACATTGAACAATTTCAACGCGTTGTGCGGTTGTTAAGGGGACCATTTGACCGAGTTATAACCAAAGCAAAACTTTTTTGGTTTGACAATTAAATTTGTCACAAAACAGCCCATCCTTTGAAACAATGAATTGGATAACCCTATATTATATTTTGTTTCGTGATAAGTAACAAAACAATATTTATTATAATTTAAATCTTCTTAACTTCCCAATTCAACCGAATTAACCAAATTTTGGCAACGAAAAAAATCCAAAATTCATTTCACCAGCCTTTGCCGCTCAAAGTGTTGAAAGAATCTAACTAAGAAAACTTGGTGTTGACCCATAAAATTATGCCAAGACACATACAATTGTGCTTAAATACAAAATCGCCGGCATTAAAAACTCTGCGTTGAATAGTAAATGTTTAGATCATTTCATTTTCTTGTTTTTTTTGGATATATATACCAAATGCAAATGCTTGATAGAGTGTTCATTTAAGCGTAGCGCAAAATTTTTATTCAGTTCGCATTGTATGCAACTGAAGCAACAACACCTAACAATGTTGCGCTCTCAATAAAAGAAACAAATCGAAATAATAAGCAAGAGCTCTGAACAAAGATACACTGGAGTAACATCCTCCAACGCTTTACGCTTTGAGAGCTAATTTAAGTCTATTATATATGTGTGAATGTTCAAATTGCGGTTGCTAAAAAGTATATTCCATTTGGTGTTGTCAGTAGTACACCCTGGTGTATGCGCATTCATAAAACATATTCAAATAAATATGATTTTTTTGTTCTTTTTGGTTTTTGTTTTGATAAATATTAATCCCGATATTATATTTATATGGCCGAGCATAGTCGTGGTGGAGGACGACTTTATCATGTCTCTCTTGATATTGTGGCCGCTTTTCTTTTATCGCGCGACTAAGGCGCATCAGTTGCGTTCGGTTGCGATCTCCTGTGATGGTTTCACCCGATTTTAAGAGCTCGTAGTAAATCACACCGAGCTGATTCTCTTTCACCATCATGTTTGCCTTCTTTTTTAAAACGTTAAAACCACTCCCGACACGTTCTTTCACTCAGAGCAGCATCACCGTTAGTTTCTGAGAGCATGCGATGCGCTTCAGCTGCATTTTTTTTTCGAATTGTAACAGAAAAGTAAAACTTCCCACAAATGACGAGAATTAGGCACATAAACGGGCATTTTCGAGCGTGAATAATACGAAAACAAAACAACTGTAACTGAAACGGCGATGACAATGCATTAGGCACTGTCCACACTCACTTTAAAGGCATTATCTTCTATGTATTTCAACCAGCCTCAGCCGGTACAGCCACCTATCGGAAAACAGCGGAAGCAAGGTTGTACATCTGATATATTAACAACTTCTGGTATTCAGTTTGACTTTTCATTAAGCCTGACTAAAACCCATTTTGGTGACACAAAAACTTGACTATCAGGTTTCTCTATCCAGCCATTTCGATTCCTTAATGAAACTCATTATTTCCATAACTCTGACATCGGTTTTCTCCGATAGACGATTCATCATTATAGTTCCAAAATTTGCACTAGGTTTTTGTTTCATTCCACCTTGGCAGAGGCGGCTTGTTTATATTTAAATTTTTTGAGAAGCAACTTTCAAGTAGAAAAATCCAATTAAGAAGAATTAGAAGGTTCTGTTACTTCGTATGACGCTTACGAAGCTCATCCCTCTTACAATTTCCGTCGATATTCCTATAACTAGGGACCCACAGAACAAATTGAGTGTTCTGTTGTTCTGTTTGGCCATCTACTGTAGTTTGCAGTTCGGCGACAGTCCAGTATTATTCTGGAATTTAGTGTAAGTGGGATGACAGTGGGGTAATGGCTGCGTGACTATCGTCGAAAATGCTTTTCTTTAAGGCTGGCTCCGATTTGTTTTGCCGCCTTTTATCTGATGTACTCATAGAACATGTATTTACATACACTTTTATGTTCATATGTATATATATATATATGCAAAAACACATCCGATCAATGATGTTTCCAAAACGCTTAAGCAACTCCATACCATAAATAAATAACAACACCGACAAGTTTAAATTCCCTTCGCTCAACCATCTCTAATTGTTGACTCACTTTATACAGTCTCTACTTGTATTTACATATATGTGAATAAATATATGTACACAATTTTGCATTGTTGATCTTCCAATTGTCGGTTTTTTGTTGTCACTTCTAATTGTTTGTTTTTCATGGTTTCATACGCACGTGATTGACAGCAACTGTTGCATATTACACCATACACTTGCCATTCATGGTGACTACATATGCATGTATGTATGTATATTATATATGCCAGTTATAAGAGTAGTAAAATAGTTACATATATTAAGTTGGCGATAGCGAAGTTTATAACGCATAAAAGTCGCAGAAAATTAAAAATGGAGATCTATTACGTTAGCATAAAAATTAAGTTGTTGTAATTAGAATCTTGTTAATAAAGATGCTCGAAACGCATTTGTCTAATGAACAGCGCAATTTCAGTGAAACCGTTTAAATCAGTTCACATTTAATGTTTTGAAACCAAAGAAATCACCGTTAGTAAAAATGATTTGCAATAAAAATATACTAATGGAACTGGTAAAGAAATATTTACCCGACATTAAACTATGACAATCAGAAAATATTGAAAAAATAATAATGTAAGCAAATCCTCAAATTAAAGTAATTCATTATGTTTGCATTAAATTGATCATAGCCACAGGTTTGCTCTAAAAATAGTTGCCATTTTGAAGGTAATGTTATTAGGCCTCTCTCATAGAAACCCGTGCCTCTTTTGGTAAACAATTGGGTCATCTATTTTCAATTGCTACTCTTAAGGCCACCAGCCAAATCATTCGCCGTAGACAGGAACAGATGCATAAGAACTTCCCAGCCAAGCTCTCAAAGCTTCTGGCGAGTCTCTATCGATGAGTGTGGCTTGTCGTTGTCCTGATGAACACACAATTTCTCTCCTGGACGCTTCTCAGTGATTGCTTCTTTCATAAGTCCGAATTAAAAGTTTGGCCGTAGGGAAGCAGTTCGTTTGCTTTGTTTAGCTCCTGAGCGACCAATGCAATACTGTATTGTATTGTATTCCATAATTTGTCTTGAACAGTTTTATATCAAAATTACCGGACCGAAACCGACGAAACCAAAGATTTTTTCGCCATACATTTCCCAAAAACTTCTCAGCAAATAAAGAAAATATGCGAAAATCGGTTTTTATATTAAATGTTTTAGAATATACGCATTCGCTTAGAATTTTGATAATTTCTAAAGTATTTTACAATATTCTCTCATGCCATTCGTATTACATGACACCATAAGTTAGAGTTGCTAGCTAGAAAAATTTATATTACAAAAAAATTGTAAAAATTTTTAACATTAAAATATATTTTTTAATTGAGATCGTTATTATTTAAAAAAAAAAATTGAAGCAAGCTTTTAGAATTTTATAGTCAAAATGTTACGTTTTTTTATGAGTAAAGCTTTGCAATACTATTTTAAAATCTTCGGCAACCCACAAAATTAAGCCAACTTAGTCATAGAACGGTTCGCTCTTGTCGTAACCTTCTATCCTACAAAGCTTGGTTTGAAGCAATTTTAAAGTGACTTTGTAGACTTATCGAAAGAACGCGAAAAAATCAAATGTTAGTCAGTTTTTTTATGTGTATTAAATATTTTAAATATCTAATACGATGAAGTATTCCATAATGACTTCCTTCATGTCAATTAGGTTTAGACAAAGGTTTTCAGAAGCCCAGAAGCAGCTGGGCAAAAATGCCCAACATGTGTCTCAAATTTACTTAAGTCCCCGCTCGGCCTTAACCACCTCCCCTAACACCAATCTCGCTGCGGTAAGAATCTATCGAAATAGTACGTATACCCAGATCCTTGTTTTAGCTAGATGACCTCAATGAGGTGTATCGAACTGCTAAAAAAAACAACAAAAGACATTTGTAAATCATTTTCCGTCCCTTAAAGCTCATCGATTAGAGTGAATTTTTTTTTGTGTTTTTTTCCTTCAAGTTCAAAAAAATTTTCAGCTTAGTGATTATGAAAGCATTCATTTCGATTACGCAATTTGTTTAACTCAAATCACATTCGCAACAAATTTTAATTTATGCTGAATTTTTCTCTGGCATCCATGTGAATAAACAAACAGATGTTTACATGAATTTGTATGTGGTGTGCATATGTATGTATGTATTGTTATATGTATGTGTTGCAGTTAAAGTGCCGTTTCTATTGTTTTACTGACTGACTTTCGTCATACAAAATGAAATATTTGCGACAACAAATCCATCAAGGTAGAAGAGTTCTGGGGCGCTTCAAGCATACGTGTTTTGTGAATATGCTGTCATTTTCATATTTTATATACATACTTACACATATACATACATACATACATATATTTGCATAGTTAAAAATCTGTAAGTGAACTTTGCCAAAAAAGAATATATACAATATTGAGGGTCATTTCCAACGATATTGAGCAATCTTATAAATATTATATTACATACTACCTACTTATATTTTTAGCGAACATGCAAGCATGCATTTGGTATGATTAAAAAAAATAAATTATAATTTTAAAAAGTATTTTTCGCGATATTCTTTCATCTCGAAAGCTGTGTGAATATTCTCATACTTCTATTCATTTTATTTCGTATATTTTTTTGGTTCTTACAGCAAGTTGATGGCTACATAGCGGGCGTTGATTATCCTGCTTATGAATCGGTGCCAAAAGGACTTTCATTTAAGTGCAGAAACCGATTACCCGGCTATTATGCAGATACGGAGACTCGGTGTCAGGTAAATATGAATATTATAGTAAAAAAGGTTGATATAAAGTTATCAATTTGGTCGTTTCAAAAGTACAAGGACGTATTAAGTCATTTGCCATATTTAAGAGGAGATTATGGTGCACATAATTGCCCAACTACTCAAGCAATTGATCGGTTACAGATAGGTGTCGCTGTTGTAAGTGACAGCGTAGCCGAGTCAATACGGAGCGTTAAGGTCGTATATAATAAATTTTTTGCCCGCAATTGAAAAATATGACTTGGTAAATATGTGGTTTCGACAAGAATATGGTGTTACAGCGAGATCATGCGGTTTGATACCGTACAATTTTTTAGGGATTCGCAAAAGATCGAAATAAATCTTGAGCGCTTGAAAAGCAACATTCGTCAAGTTTTTGCTGAGATACCGCCCGATATGTATCAATAAGTGAGTGAGAAAAATATCTCAAATGACTCGTAGCTTCTAGAAATTCTCAGGGTGGTCATATAAAGGATATAGTATTCCACATATAATGTTAAGGTTGAACATTTATAATAAGAAAAGAATTTAATGGAAGTGATCTTAAATGCATTTTTTTAAACATACATAAGTATTATTTTCGAGACAGTTAACTGATAGAGGGGCGCAATTTAGCGACACTTTATTCGCAGGCCAATATTTGTAATTTATGGCTCTGTATCATTATATTAATTATAATATTTTCCCCTTTGTTACACTTTATTCCATCTTTAGGTCTGGCATTGGTGCCTACATTCCGGTCATCAGTACTCATTTATATGTCCCAACGGCACTGTATTCAATCAAGCCGTACGTGTATGCGACTGGTGGACAAATGTCAATTGTCCAGTAGCTGAGCAATTGTATAATAACAACGATGAGCTCTACCGGACCACTGAACCGAATCCGGAGCAGCAGAACCTCTGATATAAGGCCATTCATATCAATCAAACCAGTTTATTGAGCCAACAGAGACAAAATTCGCAAATACAACAACAAACAAAACAGCAGCAGCAGCGGCAGCAACAGCAACAGCTGCAGTATGCACAACAACAACAACAACAACAACAAAGACAGAGAAGACCAAAAGAATTTCAAATGGAAGATGGATATTATGACGCGCGCGAAATTAATGGCTTGAGCGAGCCAACGATATCAGAGTATCCACAAATGCGGTTCAATAAACAATTGCAGGCACAAAGGCAGCAACAACAACAGCAGCGACAGCAGCAGAACTCATTGCTGACCACTCATAATTTACCAAAAAGTAGTTTTAGAGGTAACATCAAATACTCACAGAAAAACAGCAACAACAACAATAACAGCAATTCTAAGTATAATCGTAGTAATAGTAACAAAAACACAAACAACAACTATCAATATAACAAAAGTAGTAGCAACAATAGAGATAAGAATAATCAAAATAATTTTGGTTTTAGTATATCAAGCCAAAATAACGGTTCAAATGATCGCAACTTCAGTAGTCGCAATCAGAACAATCACAACAATAGCCACAGCGACAACAATAGTTCACAGGGTAAACAAAATAAAAATAAAAGTTCGCCAACCAATGCCAATAATCTGGATAACGATGAACTTAAAGACTACAAGAGTAAAATCAAAAACAAATACAACATCGACTACGATCATTCGCTGGATGAGGAATATGAAATAATCGAGGCCATCGAATGAATGTGCCGAATACATATACACATCAACATATACACGTACATATGTATTTTAGTTAATTTCAGTGAATGCAATGAACGATGGCTTTGGTGCTAACGGAGATGAACCTTTCGGCAGCAATTTTCAGCTATTTGCGCCCCTTTTACCCTAATGTCCCTCACTTGGTGAACTTTGTTTGTATTTTACTGAGTTGTCGGAGATTTGATAATTTATGATTATTTTTGGCGGTTGTCACAAGGAGTTTTTTATCCTTTTACGTTTGTTTTAATTTTGTTTATTTGTTTTTATGTGTCGATCGTAAGCTTGATTTATTAGTTTTAAGTTGTAAATTTTTTTATACATAACTGTTTTTTATATGCGATTTATAATAATTACCTTGCAATGCATCTTTAGTGGAATGTGATGGAAAGAGAAGTAAACGTTTTGATATTGAAATTTTACATGTGTTTTATTGGGAACCACTTTAACCAACGGTAAGGAAAATACTCTTTAATAACTGATAAGAAATTTTATTTACCAACACTGTTCAGGGTTAGCAAATGTAACACTTAATTCTGTGAGGTATTTGGAAATAATATTCTAACCAAATCCCTTTCGGTTGCTGCCCTTTCACAAAAGTTAGCGGGTAAAAATATTAATAAACCATAACAGTAATATTCTTACGGTTAAAAAGATGATGAACAATTTCCTTGCCCGGCAACCTAGAGACAATCGTTTGACCCGTGTGGATTGAATGTGGAAATTACTTTACTCTTCTATGGACAACTATGCTTGTGCATATCTTTATCATATTTTATACGTCACACAGACTTCTACTTTAATTGTATACGTAAGCCAAGGAACAACAAAATTAGAACACGACGGCAACGTATGCGTAACAAAGCAAAAAATTATTGCGCCTTCCGGGCCCCGTTATTTACTCTTCTAAATTTTTACAATCATCTGTTGCTTTGTTTTCGTCACACTTTCGATTACGGGGTGACATAGGTCTTGAAACTTCAAAAAAATCATTTTTTGTTAATTTTTTGTGTAAAAGTACAAGTGTACAAGTTACTGCAAATTTCAACCCGATGCCATAGATCCACCAAAACTCACTCATCGTTTTCCTGGACTACTCATATGAGAAGAAATGATGTAGTACAAGACTACATTGGGGTCAATTTTTTGTATTCACTAATTTTTCATTTCTGTTAATTACACACATATTTTATAAAAAAAAATTGCTGGATAAAGCATCTGATAAATTTTTGTTTGAAAATATAATTTGTTTAAGATCATTTATTTGTTCTTTAATTCACAGCAAATCAATTACAAACAAAGAAAAATATATGAAATTACGACGTATATGCAAATAACAACAAAATCTAAAGGCGTAATCTATAGTATAATACATCATTCTTGTTAGCAATTTACGTAGAGTTGGAATTCGTTCCAAGGGAAAAAATAGAAGTTTAAGTTTCCGTCTTTCTTTTTCATTATACCGACAATGAGGTCGGATTGAACATAAATGAGTCTATTATACTTTTCATGTGGATGAAAGAGTATTTAAACTTTGGTTCGAAGTAAAGTAATGTAAGAAGGAGAAGAGATAGGCCCAACAAATTTATAGCGATCTATCCACCTGTTTGTATGCAAACAAGTTCCTCAGTTATTGAGATATTTCAACCAAATAACAGATGAACACATGTACAACGCGTAAAATTCTGTGTTCCACACATATTGAAAGTTATAGAAATCGAATGACTATATATATATGTCTATATATATCCCATATATCGATTTCTACATATATGAAGCTTTGGACAAAACTCCGTCAAAAAGCCTTCAATAGCCTACACAGGTATACAGAAATAAGCATTGCCACCGAAAATCATCGATATTAGAAATCTTCATCTTATAGTCCTTCAATTTTTCATATATAAAATTTATTATTTAAATCTTAAAGGAAGTAATAAATCAAAAACTTTATATGGTCTCGGAAAGTATACATTCTTCGGCATGTTTTTTTTTCTTGTTTATTCTTCTTTCAATTTTATATAAAACCCTTTAGATGCCACTTTCGTTGCGGTTTTACAACCCAAGATCTGCTCACCTACCCAAGCCAATTATTTAGCCTTTGTTCGGACTTTTTAGTAGATGGTTTATGGGAATTTTGCACAAAATCGCGCCAGTGGTTCTTAATTCTTTGTAATCAATAAATGTTTAATGTTGACAGTACAAGCAGGTTGTGTCAAACTAAAGCCTTTTTATGATGGAGATTTTGCTGTCAACAATGAAAAAAGTTTCAGTGGCATTTTGCTTAGATTAACAGGAAGACTACACTTCTCTTCAGGAAGTGGGCCAAGAAGTGGCCTATTCAAAAAAGCCAAAGAATATTAAGTAAATAAATTTATGATAGAAAGATAATTCATTATTCGTACATTTAATGAGTGTATGCGACAGCGTAGCGTTAAAAATGCACTTCATTTATTTGCTAAATTATCATTGTCGGCATTCAAGTAAAATAAAAATAATTTGATGTTATATATTTAAAGAAATCAGGTAGAAAGTAATACATAAATGTAAAAAATAATAAAATAATTAATTAAAAGTTCTCTCAGAATTTCTTGAAAAAAAAATTGTGCTTATAAACTACAAATACGGTGCATATTTTTAGGCGTTATGACAAGATAAAAGCTTTCTAACTTATTGTAAACTTTAGGCAGAGTCTAAACATATGATCGTGCTGTGTTGATGAAAGAGCGACTTCAGTTTTTACGCTCCGAGGATGGTACAACATTGAATTAATAACAAACAAGTTAATTCTCGTCACTCAGCTATCTGCAAGTAAAGCACTTTGTTGTTGATTTACTCTCTTTGTGTATATTCAGCCGCACGTAAGCATGCTCACATAACGAGATCACTCGTGACGTTTGTTAACCACTTTCCAGTTGTCAAAATATAAATAAAAATAAACTAAACACCAGTCGTCGAGACAGTGATTTTCTAAAAAGTAAGAAAAGTAAAAACTAATCGTTAAAAGTGTTTCGTGTATTTTAAACCATGAGTTTCTTATATTAAAGTGAGAATTAATTTTTTTGTCATAGTTTCCTAGTAAGCATCTGTAGCTGAAAACTTTAGTAACATTTTGTGTGTGGCTGAAGCTGTGTTTTGTAAACAAAAATTTGCAATGTGATTGTGCAAATGTATATATATATATATGTTTGCCCACTACTCAATGGCGTTCGCATATTTAAATATATAATATATGTAAGTATGTACGTGTACATATGGACTTGTTTTTATAAATGGACTAAAATTTGCGAAAAATAAGGTAGTGCCCTTTTAGTAGTTAAAATGTTTCCAATTTAAGCACCAACAAGTGTGCGCATGTACACATACAAGTATAAGTCTTGGCCCATTGCGTGGGTGGGCGGTTGATGTTTATAAATGAAACTGAAATAATTTATCAGCTAATGAACTTATTTAACTTCACGTACATAATTGGGCAAAATGCTTATATATTCATATGCCTAGATATGTACATATCTGTATAGTGTATAATGCGCTTATTTTGTGTTTGCTACACCTTCCAGTCAACTAAAAAGTGACACAAATTTTAACGACGTGATTGGGGTCTATTGGTACGCCAATATACATACTCCGATTTGTAAATATGTATGCATGTATGAATATCTCTCATTAAACCGGTAGTGAATGCGTTCATATTAACTGCCCAAGTGTGCGATGGTGTGTGAGTGCCATACTAATTCCAATGAGCTTCATACATATATATAAATATATACATACATAAATAGATAGATAGATAGATAATGTGTCAAAACTATGGCAACGAATCATTGAGTCAAAGTAACGGCCAAACTTTGTTTACCAGCTGATCTATATACATATGTAGTTATATGTCTCTTGTGAGCAGCATACATATGTTTGTGTGTATACGAATAAATACGAATATATAGTCCAACGTTCACCCACATTTTTGTAGGTTAAATAAAGACCAGGGCAGCTTTCTGGTGACAGACATTAAAACCAAAGAAGAAAACTCAACAAATTGAACAAAATAAAGTACCAATTATATATATACGAGTATATGTATGCAGTTATGCACATATGCTCGCGTGTATATGACCAAATATGTTTATGTGATGTGGAGTCAAAGCCCGCATGCGGAGCAAAATACGATATTGCTTCAGCTATTATGTAATCGAAGGCGCAAAAATGCCCTGCAGGGAAATTATAAAATTATGGAAATTTATGTTTTCTATAATTTGAACGGTTAACGGTAGGCAGAGGCATGATTTTATTAGTAAAATATTTTATTTTATAAAAGAAATACTATGGCGATTCTTGCATGAGAGAGGTACTGTTGCCTATGGTATACTGAATTTATAGTGGCAACTACTCTAGTCACTGCTAATGGCATTGACAATATAACACCAGGAGACGGCGAACCCATCATTGCTTCATTGCCTGACTATGATGGATTCGAATAGCAGTATGCTGCTTGAAAAACAACACAGCGGTGGGGCCGATAGATTGCCGATCGAGATATTCAAATAAAGCGGCGCAGTACTGAAAAGGTGTATGCATCAGCGATCACACTATCTGCGCCAATTGCCGTGGGATAAACCTTTTCAATATCACATAGGAGATCCTATGGCGCGTATTGTGTGAAAGACTAAAACCCACCGTCAACAAACTGATTGAAGCTGCCTTTGATAGCATGAAAAGGAGACGTCTCTATGCTGCTTCATCTGAGTTTGGTATACCAGCAAGACTTCTATGTGCAGCTCCTTCAATTTATTGCTCGAAAAATTAATATGAGCCGCGAGAATAGCGTAGCTGCTGGCGTACACCGATGATATTGACATCATTGACTTGAATATCCTAGTAGTTTACGTGGACAAGACGAAATCGCTCCTGCCATGAAACAAAATGTTTAGGACGTGGCTGTACTTTTTACTTCCAATTGGAGTCGAACAACGAAAAGAAGAAATGAATGT